ATTATTTACTACTTTCTACAATATTACCTACATTTAATCATAGTTTTATCCATAGGCTATGGTGTAGTAACAGATATGACCATCAGCATGAAGAGGGTCAGTGAATTTTAACCTAATCTGGAGAAATATTTGATGTCTACCCCATTAGAAATAAAAGTACAGAATCTCGAGATCTGTTATAATGACCTCGAGTTCAGGTCATCATAACACTTGTTATACGGGTCTGAACTTGATTTTTCAGTTCTGTTATGGACCTGCGAGCAGCTCAACAAGCACATATTTTGTTGCAATTACAAGCCAACTATCACGGGTCTATTTTTTGTCTCCTACAGCTGAGAAAGTTTCTGTCTGTGCGCCTTTTCTCCCATCAGGTCATGTATCGTAGGCTGCTACACCACAGAAGATTACTTTCTGGTTAAAGACGGGGTGTTTCTTCTCCTCAACTTACTCAGTGTGAGTAAAAGTTTCCTGCATTTACTGTCGAGGCTTTAAAAGTTTCCTTTTTTCATCCTGTATTTTGTGATTAAAAATAGGATCTCAGCTGCTCTGTGTTAAAGCTAGTTCATGTAAGGCAGCGTTCACAGGTAATATAAACGTCCTTTTCTCCTGCAGACAAGCCCCAGGTGTGTGCACGGTGTCGTCCTCGCCACCCTGTTAGAGTTATGTGACAACCCGAACACGGTGCCGTACATTCTGACGTGGAGGGACGGCAACGGACAGACGGCTCCGAGACTCCTGCTGCAGCTGTGGAGAGAGGAAGAGGAGGAGCTAGGAGTTCCTCGAAATCAACATGGAAGCATCGCAGGTCGGTCTGCGATGCTTCCATGTTGATTCAGATCATCGCACTGAGAACAGATTTCACCTTTTTCTTTCAATTAGATATCAAATCGAAATAAAGAACTTTATGTTTTTTAGATTTCTGCTGCACTAACAGGTAAATGTTTCTACTAAACTGCTGATGCAATTTTTTTTTTTTTTAAGTATCCTGTTAGTCTGTAATGTTGTTTTGGGGTCTTTTACGGGCGCCTCTGCTTTGTCCTCCACCGTCTGTGTTGGACTTCGACACACACAGCATTATTTCTTTTCCCAACCTGGATTTTATAAACATCTGATTTTTATCTGACATTTTTATGTAACGATAACGTTCTGTACCACTGAGCCAACCAGATGCAGGAAATGGTTAAATATAACTGGAAACAATGTAAATGAAAATACTTTTTTTGTATGTTTTTGCATAGCTGATGGATTTTGTTTTTTCATCTCTCCGTCTCAGACAGAAGGTTTTAAAAGTTTTACATTTTGCCAGCAGGTAAAAATCAGATTTTAGGTCCTTTTGGCTCTGTAATCTCATATTTTTCTCTTTGTTATTTCTTTTATCTTGAAGATCCTCAGAGGCCCATCCACAGTCTTTTCCAGCTGGATGAAGCTCAGCTTTCATTTCCTGCTAACGTGCCGAGTGCTGCAGTATTGGAGATGTCAGAGAACCTGCGATCGAAGATTTACTCAGTCTTCTGCAAAATTGGTAACCAAACAAATTATTCAGTTTCATACTAAATGTAAAGTATTTATTAAGAAGATTTTGTAATTAGATTATTTGATTAGCCCAATTTCTTTGTAGCTCCTCCTATAGACCAGTTATACATATTTATTTATTTAGTATTTATTTTTATTAATAAAAAAAATACCATTAAAACAAAATCCAGAAGGTTGTAAAACAAAAGGCTATTTTTACATGTTTCTTTTTGTAGCCTTTCAAATCATATTCAGTCTCAATTTGGCTTTTTTAAATGAAATTTATCACTTATTGATTGAAGATATTTTGAAGTTTTGAAATATCAGAGTAATAAAATGATATCATGATGTTCTGTTCAAAACATTCAGTTGTTGGGCACAGCTAATATTGTTATATTAAAAAGCAATCAGGAGTAGAATTTGTGACTTTTTCCTTTTCAGGGTTTCAGGATCTTCCTGGATTGTTGGGAAAAGATTATGTGACTCTGACCATCATCAGGAGATATCTAGACTTTAAGGTAAAAGTGAAGAGGAAATACTGTTGATGCTTCATATAATAGTTGCTCAGACTTACAATCTGTTCAAAGTTTGTTCAAACCTGAAATTAATATGAAGCTTTAGCTGTGAGTAGAGTAGAGATATTCAAAGTGAAAGTACAAAAGTCCTCGTTCAACAAAATACAGAGAGCGAGAACTCTGAGGGACCAACTTATTTCGTCTTACTGTGGCTGAACCAGCAGCTTAAGTTTTGGATACTCAGGCAGTGAAAGTCTGTCAGGAAAACAATCTATAAATAACCATTAGTCACAGGGAGTAAAGACTTAAAGGAGTCTGGAGCTCTCTTAAAGGTTTCAGATGCAGAGGACATAAACCGAGATAAACATCAACATGTCTGTCTCTTGTGGTGCTGCAGGTCGGTGAGGTGTGGGATGAGATCAGCCGGGAACTGAGTCTGGAAGGCGTGAGGCCGATCAGCCCCGACCAGGAGGCTCTGAGCACCATCTGCAAGATCGCAGAGGACACGGCGAAGAGGATCATGGAGGAACAAAACAGCATCCTGGAGCACCATCAGAAGGAGGACATCAGAGAAGAGAAACTCACATACACAGAGGTACGGAGTAAAGGAGTGGAAATAGCTTACATGAAAGTCATCTTAAAATGTTTTTCTTTAACAAAAAACCCCAAAAAAGACAAATTATATTACATAGATTGTTTTTTTTTCTTCCTGAGCTACTATACAAATAATCAGATTTATTTTCACATGCATAATCAAACAAATTCAGTCTCTTTTTTTTTTTTCTTTTTTTGTATGTCTAGTAAAACGTTTTCATTGTATGTTTGACTAGAAGCAGAGATCCTCTGGGACAATTTGTTTTAGTTGGAGGAGATCAGGCTTTTGCTGTGACTGCTCCGAAACTGCCTTTACATATCAGGACCTCTCCAACACTGGATACATTTAAAACTCGTTTAAAGTCCCATTTTTACTCTTTGGCTTTTAATAATGCTCATGCTTTATTAAAAGCCAAAGAGTAAAAATGTCATTATTTTGTCATTATTTTATTATTAATGATAAAATTCTTATTTTATTCTTATTTTTTTCTTATCTTTTATTTTACTTTCCTTTTAAATTTTATTTGATTATTTTATTGTGCAGTACTCTGGTCAACAGTTGTTGTTTTTAAAAGTGCTATATAAATAAAATTGATTTGATAGTAAAATGAATTCTGACTTTTTTCTGTCTTTATCGCAGATGAAGTCTCGCTGGAAGCAAAAGGAGTTCATGGCGAAGTCATGGGAGGATTATGTTTCCAGAACTTCAAACTATGAAGCCCTGAAGGTTTAAAGATTTTTAACTATAAATTCTATCCTAATAATAATAATAATAATAATAATAATAATATCTAGATTCTCAGTGTAAGTAGTAAGTGTATATTTTTGTTATGCGCTTTGTATACAGGAAGTAAAAGCACAGAGGGAGAAGAACGCTGAATCATCCAGACCTAAACCAAAGCACGAGGACGCTGCTATCCGCCCTGCTGAGGTCTTTACACTTAACCTTTCGTGACTTTTACAGGTCACCCGCTTCATTGATTTAAAATACTTAAATCTCATATCTTATTTTCACAAAATGGAGCAAAGAAAAAAGTCTGTTTCAGGTATAGCTCATTTTCTGGTTCTGAGAATGAGCATTTTTAATGCATGTAAGGAATTTCAGCTTAATTTGGAGTTTGTGGCTTAGAAAGCATCTCTGAAATTAGTTTTAATAGTAGATAAATCCTGACATTCAGGGGCCCAATAACATAAATGAAGAAGATGAATGAAAATGTATAAGATGAGATTAGACGTACTTTATTATTGCCAAACTTGGGAAAGTCCTTTATTACATTAGTTAAACTAAAGTTAAATGGAGCAAACTAATAAATAGCCTTTCTAATAACTTCAGTAGATCTTAACTCTGCACTAATAATGCACAAAGCACAAAATGATCATGAAGTTAGCTTAAATACGCAGGGGGTAAGAACAAATGGTGGTGAGGAATTGGTGTAGTTATCATGCAAACTTTTAATATTTTAAGGTGATAACCAAATATAAATCTGAAGTTTTGGTGAAATGTGATGCCCTTCAGAATATGCTCTGTAAAGAGTTGTTAGATACAAAAGAGTTTCTTTATCTTTAATTCAGTTCTTTTCCTGTTATTTGTGAACAATGATCAAAATTTTAAAAATTGAGGAGCAACTCGCTGTAGTCTTGACGTTCTGTTTCGGTGTGTTTCAGCATTTCATCGGACACGTCGTTGGAGTGGAGAGCACGGACGCTCAGGGTCCGGCAGGAGTGAAGGTGACGCTGGTCAGAACGCCAGTCAGAGCCTCAAGTCAGGACAAAGGAGAACCAACAATACCAAACCCAGACTACTTCAGCACGGCGTCTTCTGCAGACTGACGTTACCGAAGTCATTCTTAATACAAGGCATTCACATTGTTCATGTCACAGCATTTATTGTGCTGTACGCTCATAAAATTAAACTGCATTAATGTAAAGACTGCATTAAGGTGTTTTACAGGAATTGTCAAGATACATGAGTAGAGCAGAGGGGTCAGAAAGTTCATTACAACTTAAAGTGAACTTTACTAGTTTAAAGCAGTCCAAAATAACTGAGTCCAATCGGCAAGAAGATACATACGTTTTGTTTTTTTTAAACGGGGGGAAAAACGGGCAGTGAAGGAGTGACTCAGTGCAAACAACCCACACTAAAAAAATAATATTATAATACTCAAAAATGCAGACTTTAAGTTAGTTAATTATGCAAGGTTTTTTTTGTAATTTTGTTACAAAGTGAAATGTTAAACATTAAACTTAATGGTTAAATGAAATCTACTTACTTGGTGTGCATTCAGTTTATACCAAGCATGTTTACCTTATTGATTAATATTTGAATAATTTGCATTTTACTCACAGTTATTGCTTCATATTTATGAGGACAAGTACTATTGTTTTGAATGCAAGGTGTAATTCTAGACAGAGTGATGATTAGGGATTAGACACGGGTGGAGACTCAAAACTCCAGAGCAAAACAGAAGGAAAATGAAGAGAAAACAACCTAAAGGTATGGACCATCTAAAAAAACACAATTTGGGGTTGTTAACTTAAAAAGAAAATAGCTTAAAATTGTACCTTTGCTCTGCCTGGCAAAATGTTTTTTTCTTTTTCTGTTGCAGAAACAAGCTTGCATAAAAAAGACACGTACTAAACACAGAGACAAGAAAACTCACATTAAACATGAACCCAACAACATTAACACAGAGACGAGAACAGATTGGGACAATCTAAACTCAAAATAGGAACCGAAGCAAAATACAGACCAAGATCTAAAAACTAAGGCTAGAACAAGAAAACCAACTTGTCAGGAAGAGAAAACAAGAAAGATAAAAGAAAAATAATTCAAGAAAGCTGCTTATAGTGTTTACATTTCTGGTTCCTGTGGCTCTCGAGGGATGCAGCAGATGCAGACGTGAGGTCACTCCATGTGTACAATCAACACCTTGTAGTCTAGCCCACCACCCCAGCCCTTTATACAGGCACACACACACAGTCTCTGTCCTTTCAACGTTACACTGGCTTACTTTAATGTCCTGACGACTTATCTGAGCCATAACCAGAATATTATATTTTTACTTATTTACATATTTTTCAAGTCCTCTCAGTGCGACTGTGAGAAGCAGTAACTTCGCTTTCCTTTGGAGCTAACATGACTTATTTCGGTGCACAGAGCATTCATGTACAATCTGTTTTAAATTCAAATTGTTTTGTTTTTTTCAAATAATTATGGTTTTTGCATCAAAACTAATAAAAAAGGAATTAGATTTATTAACAATAATCTTTAAATCGTTAAAAATAAAATTCTAATGTTTTGGTATGTTTTCATCCTGCATTTATGTAACCACTCCTGCACCACGAACAAAGAGAGCCTGAACAGTCAATGTGGCCTCATAGACTCCGCTGCATTATGTAACATCACTTTACCTTTAAACATAATAAGCCCACAGTGTAATTACATCCACTCGAGGTTAACGCTCTCATTAAATGCTGCAGTTTGCAGTTTTTTTGGCTGTAAAAATTAAACTTTTTACTGCTGGGTTGTTAAAAAGTATTTTCTCTTTTTACATAAGTGACTGCAGTGCATTAACACACATGTTCCTTCAAGCGTGCAACATGCTGCACAGAGCGACCTCTTCTTCTTCTCCTCCTCTCTCCGCTCTCACCCGTTTCACTGGCTGGATGGCCAAATCACCCCTGACAGGCCGGAGCTTTTCATGCGGCGCTGCGAGTGTTTGTGTGGCACACTGTACAAAAGAGCAGGGACACACAGGACCCTCTTCAGCACGTCAGGCTGCCCCCTGTTTGCTCAGACTGCCGAGGGGCTTCCCGGGACCGGAGGTCCGTCTGCCGTCGATGAAGGCACGTCTGGATCCCAACTGGATGCTCATCAACTCTACGAGGACCTCCTAACTTCAAACTGTGAGGCTGATTTGTTTTACCTGAAGGCTGATGACGCTGTGGAGACACCAACAATAAATGGTTTATAACACATTATAATGAAGCTGTTAAAGTGATAAAGTAAAAGTTTATATAATTACAGCTTTTAAAGTCATCAGTTAGCTTCTGCTTAAGGCAAATACGTCCAAAAACATTTTAAAATGTGTTATAAACTATTTATTAAAGGGTCACACAGTGTAAGCCTTAGAAATACTAAACAAGAAGACTTAAAATAAGGTATTGATGTTAATAAAAAATTTATATTCTCAAACATTTCCTTGCTTTAGTGGCTTTAAAACTGAGATGTGACAAAACATATGTCAGGCTGTGATATCAGTTTGAATTACCTCAATATGACTAAACTAGTTGGGTTAAAGACAGTTTTATGTTGTCTGCGACGTATTAGGTTTGTTACAATGAATAGCTCAAAATAAAATTTAAAAGTGTTCATTTCTCCACAGAGATTTACTTCTCTTGAGTATGGTTTAAATATGTATCTATTAAAAACATCCTCAAATAAACCAGGCAGTTCAAAGTGAGGCAGAAATCTGTTTTTAAAGTCACTGATTTCCATCAAGAAGATTAAGTTCTCCTTGAGATAAATCGGAGGGTGTCACAGCAGGATAAATGAGATGTGGAAGAAAAAATGTGTCTTTTCCCTTTATTTTTCTGTAAAATGCATCTAATTATAT